ATAAAAAATATATTATGAGAGCTTCTAAATTTATTCCATCGCATAATATATTTTTTATTTTACTTCCAAGTTAGTGCACGCACATAGGTTAATACAATACATTACAATACGAAAATTCGTACCTACAAATCTACTAGTAAATACACTTTGAAAAGGCCCTATGGTAAGGCATCAGTATAATTCGTATTGTTACTAGGGTTTACTATAATAAGGAATACCATAAGTAACACTAAAAAGGGCCGAAATTTTTTACTTAACTAACGTTGAAATAAATTTTTTACACACAATCTTTCTAGAACTAGAATGATCACTAGAGAGGTCAGAAATATTTTAATAATTGGTCGTAGTGGTAATGGCAAGTCTGCCTTAGCCAATACTTTAGTTAATAGGGAAGGCGAATTTAAACAAATATTTAAAGAAGGTACTGGTAGCGTTAGCGAAACAAGAGAATCCCAAAGTGAAATTTTTGAATGGAATGGTTTTCATTATCGTTTGGTCGATACAATCGGACTAGGTGACACTAAATTATCTAATAAAGATGTTCTTTATAGTATAGCAAAAACTATTGGTATGATGAAAGAAGGTATAAGTCATCTTTTATTTATTGTCGATGGCAAGTTTAACGAAGATGAAAAGAAAAATTTTAGATTATTAAAGGAAGTTATGTTTGAAAGTCGTATTAGTAATTATACTACAATTGTGAGAACTCGTTTTGAGAAATTTAGAAATAGAAAGGATTGTGATCTAGATAAGAAAAATTTATTTAGTGAAAGTAAAGATATCGCTGAAATAATTTGGGCATGCAATGGGCTAATTCATGTGGATAACCCTTCATTAGATATTAGTTCTGATGATGACATTGATGAAGATGAAAGACAATTGAGAATTCTTGTTAGAAAAAAAGATAAAATCAAATCAAGAGAAAAATTACTTAATCATTTAAGAGATAATTATATAGGGAATTATAAATTAAGTTCTTGGGATAAAATGTATCTTAGAATTAATAATTATCTTGAAAAATGCGATGAAAGAAATCATGATGAAGAAGAAACTATTACTATTGAATTAGCTGCGATTCTTTATAAAGAGGTACCTTCATTCATCAAAACACAACAAGGTTCATCTGAGAAATCTTTGTGGTGTCAAATACTTTAGTTTTATTAGAAAAAGCATTATAATTTTTTTTTTTCTGGTGGATGTTTGAACACACTATTTACATATTATTAAAATCGAAATTTCTTATAGATGTTTCTTATACAGTACAAGATTATGTCAAAATTATTTTAAAAATTGATTTATTTATCAATTTGCTTTTAACTTTGTTGTATAGTTTTTACTATGTTAATTAATTTATACTATATATATATCTATATATACTAATAAATACTTTGGCAAATTGTGAACGAACATTTTCTATTATATTTATAAAAATGCACTAAATTGTTTTTTTAGTCTAAAAACAAATACCACAGTACTAATACTAATACTAAAGGTCTAAATACTTTAACTTTATAAAAAATATATAAAACGTGTTTGTTATGAAGTGAATTAAAATTAGAGTTCACATACCAAATTCACATACCAAATTCACAAATACTTATGTACGTATAAAAGTTATTCACATTCTATATAAAGCGTAAAAAAATCGTATGACAAAATAAAATAAAACATAATTAAATATTTTATGATTATGAAGTGAATTTAAATACGAAATACACAAATAAAACATGATGCCTGTAATGTGAACTCGACATGTAGAAATAATGATTGCATGAAAAGATTTTATTTATTTTGATTTGTAAGCTTATATATAATATTTTTACGATCGTGAATTTTCATCAAAAACAAAAAAGACTACTCATTTAATCTTCGAATATCACCTATTTCATTTTCTGATTTCAAAATTTCAAATAGAAATAGGACGTTTTAAAACCCTATCTGTTTTTGAAATAAGTTAA